AGCAGGTCCCTCAAGCGTGCGGTCAGCAGGGGGCACCTCGGCGGGCGCCGCCTTCACGTGGCCAGAAGGGGGCGCCGCAGTAGGCACCTCGGGCAGAGCAGCGACGGCAGCTGCAGCAACCGCAGGCCGGACGAGCAGGTCAGGCTGGACAGGCGGTGCCACTGGCAAAGCGGCGGAAGCTGCAGCAGGCAGTGCCGCAGGCAGAGCGGCAGCAGCAGCAGGCGATGCTGCAGGCAGAGCGCCGGCAGCAGCCGGCGGTGCCGCGGGCAGAGCGGCGGCAACAGCAGCAGGCGGTGCCGCGGGCAGGGCGGCGGCCGTTGCAGCCGATGCTGCTGGCAAGTCCGGAGCAGGCAGGTCCAAGATAGGTGCCAGGATCGGCGCCGGGCGTGCAGGCGCTGCCCCTTTAAGGCACCTTCACAATGGCGCTGACGTCCGCAGCGATCAGGGCCTCCCCACAAAGACCAGCAGGAAACGATGCTGGGGAAAGAGAGGCAGCTCCCAGGAAGATTGTCAGGTCCTCCTTCTGTCTCTGCTCTCTCCTTTTCTTCTTCCGCCTCCGGCTTGTGGCGGTGGAAGGAAGCAGCTGCGCCGTTTCTGTGGGGACAGAAGGCGGTACAGCAGCCCCAGCGCAGCACAACGCGACCAACTGGGCTCTCCGGTCTGTAATCCGCTGTATTAGCAGCCGAAGATTCTCGCCTACCTCCTGCATATTTCCAGGTGGGGGTGCCTCCCTCAGGAGGTCTCCACTCCGGCTGGCCATGTCCCAGGCTACGGGGTCTTCCTGGACCTCGGGTTGGGACAGCCAGTATATCACCTCCTGCAGCAAGCCGATCCGTTGGTTTTCGGCTTGCTGCGGTGAATTGTTGTGGAGATCTGTCATTCTGTTACGATGGGGCTCAGGCGAGCACACATCAGGATCGGACGGAGCAGGGCGTGACAATACCAAACACTGACAATTAGGCCATTTGAGTTTTAAGCATCTAGTTTTACCCATACGGCTTCTGTACTTTTATTTTTATCAGTGAGCTTCCTTGCCTACAAGTTTTATTTTACGTATACTGCAACACCACCTCCCTTCTTGCCTAGCCTATCCAGTCTCTACGGAACAACGTGTACCAATCAATATTATATTCTTCTCCATCATTATCACATGTTTCTGTTATTCCTATAATGTCGTAAGAGTATGATGAAATTAAAGCCTCTAAATCATGAATTTTGTTTGTAATACTCCTAGTGTTTAAGTACAGACAGCAAAGGGTAGGCCTTTTACAGTGCCCAGTTTTAATATTAGTTTGGGCTTTCTGTCTCCCCCCACCTATTTTCTTCACTAACCTCCCTGCCCCCCTGTCCCGAGTTTAAACATTTTTCAACTACTCTACACATACACCTCCCTAATTCACTGGTTCCCCTCTGGTTCAAATGTAACCCATCCGGCTTGAACAGGTCCCACATGTTCCAGAACATCTTCCAGTGCCCCGCAAACCTAAACCCCTCTTTCCTCCACAACCCTTTTCGCCATGCATTTAATCTCCTTATCTCAGCTAGCTTAGCCCGGCTTGCACGTGGCATGGGAAGTATTCCAGAAAATACCACCATGGATGTTCTGCTTCTAAGCTTATCTATGACTTCTATAAATTTATCATGCAGAACAGCCCTCCTGCCCTTGCCTATGTCGTTGGTGCCAACATGCAGTAAAAACAGGATAGCCTTGTTTTTACCGATGTGAAATAGTGTATTTTGTTTAAAAATACCCCGTTAACAATACACAGCTACTGCTTTTACCATTTAAAACTGCCAGACCCTCTTTCCTCTCTAGCTAGAATAGCTTGACGCGTCCAGTGACCCCGTTAAAATTACGCTGTTAAAAGTTTTATTATCCTCAAAACGCATTTTAACCAGTACATTAATAAATTCATGTAATGTATTTTATTTGTTAAAAAATACCCTGTTAACAATACTGCCAGCTATAGGCCGGGGTGTGTGTGGGATATTTTGCTTAAATTCTTTATTAATTATCGTTAGTTATATGTTTTATAACACATCTTATACTTATTTTACACACATTTACTTATTTTATACACACTTTAAAATTCAGAAAACTAGTTGCCTCAGCTGTTTTCAATAAATGATAGTGGTATGTGGGGATTGTGGCTCTACGCACAAGCACGACATGGAGAGAGAGAGCGAGAGTCATTTTAACAAGAATTGGCTGCGTTATTCCTTGATTCTTCTTGTTGAAATGCTTAGGATGTTTTATTTTATTATTCACATTGGCAGAAAAGTGCTTTTTTTTAATTTAAAATAACAGGTGCCACCATTTTGAAATGGGATGTCTGCGTGAGTGCGCATGCGCAAGTGCTGCCCCCCACGGACAGTCAGTTGACGCGTAACTTTTGAACTGGGAGGATGCATGTCGGGTTCGCTCCGTTGCGGGATAATTGCTGCCTTGACCCCACTGTTTGTGCGGCGTCGTAGGAACCCAGAGCGGCTATTGCTGGTTCTTCACGTTTGGTGAAATACTTTTTCTATTTACATTGAAATAAACTGTTTAACTAATAATGGCTTTTGCAGCATTTTTAAAACTTGTGTTAAAATATTTAAGTGCTTTGTTTCTTGTAAAACGACATGCTGTAAGTTCATTGGTTTCGCTTGGGACTTGTGCTTGTTTAACCCTCAATGGGTCCTTGTCAGAAAGTTACGTTCCAGGTCCTTGGGGTTCAGATTACACCCCTATTCATTGGCATATATAATTCAATGGTACGAAGCTCAAATTCAATGAACTAAAGTTAAGATACGTTTATTAGTTAACTGCATGGTGCATGCACAGCTTATGCAGTGAAATAGTGCAGTTAAAGGGGTTGCAGCAGTGGGGGGGGCAGCGGAGGGAACTGGTCATATAATGCACATTCCGTCTAGCCGACCCTTTCACTGCCGCGATGTAAGCGCCATTTTAATTCCAATGTCGTAATATAATTGGAAAACATGCATTATCACACCTTTCAGATGCAAACATTGTTCAAGATTTCTGCAAATGACATGTCTAAATCATACATATGCATTTGTCACACAGTACATTTGATCTATTGACAGAGTGTGCTGGACAAGCAGGCCTAGAGCACTTATCGCAGAATTTGCGTGTCTTCCTGTCAAACTCGCGCGGGCACAGGTGACAACATCCCTGTGTCCTCTTCACTTTAGCTGGTCACCTGTTGATCTTTTGTTTACAAGAGTAGATGCAGGCTAAATGATCCATGTTATCTACGCTGCTCTTAGTTGCATTATAATGAAGGATGATCTCTGGTTTTTGTTTCGGACCATGAACAGCCTTGTCGTGATGTTTAACTGATACCACCTGAGGCCGAGCGTGAACGACTGTGGAACCATCTGGGCAAAGTTGAAAGAACTGCATTGTAGGTGGGTGATAGATTATGTCTATGGCCACCTCCTCTGTTCAACGATGGTCGTTCATTTGAACCAGTCATCCTCCCGGTCCACCTACAATGCAGTTCTTTCAACTTTGCCCAGACGCTTTCACAGTCGTTCACACTCGGCCTCAGGTGGTATCAGTGAAACACATGAAAGTCAGGGGGAACAACAACAACCCACAGGTGACCATCAAGTGCTAACAACTTGAGGACTCCACAGGGTTCATAAACCTGCTATGCCAACCAGTCAGTCAGAATTGAGAAAGCACTCCAGTTGGAGTGCGAAACATCTTCTACGAAAAACAAAGTCCAGTTGCTATTGCATAACCCTTTTTTAGGATAACCATGACCTGGATAACTGAGAATCTCCACAGACATCTGTCATAAATTAAGTCTTTTTTGGGGTGCATATTGCACCCCCGATGAAAATATGCCAGCGATAATTGACGTCAACACTTTTTCTATCATTTTATGCATGACCGTATGTGAAACTGGTTCACTTACAATGTCCTAGAGGATAACTGCTGTAATTTTTATAACAACATGGTAGTAGCCATAGAAATGGCTAGGGGGTGCAGAACGCACCCCAAGGAACCATTGAGGGTTAAACTTGTGCTTGTTTAATTTGCACTTCTGACAGTGTTTCGTTCGGGCATGTTTGTACTTGTATAAATTCCACCTGCTCTGGCTTTTCTTTCTTTTAAAATAACGCTAAAGTTTTTCTTCTTTAAACATGCTGCGTAAGTATAATGAGTTTAAGTGCTTTCTTCTTTTTAAAATACACGGGGGCGCTTGTGTCTACTGCGGACAGAACCCCCGCTGGCCATGTACGCACTAGCTTACATTCATCCTGTTTTATTATTCCTTAAAACATAATTAACAATAACATGTAATAAATTTTTATTCTATTAAAGTTTAAACGGCAACCCCAAACCACGTGGCCCCCCTTATCACATAGCATAAGCATGTATGATACCATATATGGACATAATCCCCATACCCCAATTTAAGCCCCACCCACAATATAGGCTCCGCCCAAGGTACCAACAAATATTTTTTTTTATGTTGGATTACATCCACACTCCTTGTTGTATGTTATTGCTTAATTTTTAAAGACTCTGCAGTTAGTAAAAAATGGAACAAGTATGGCATCCATAAAAGTTAACTAAGAGAAAAAATCTGGAGTTGATTTGTCATAATGCCCACTACCATGTTTGGCATGAACAAAAAACAGTTTTTCAAGAATCACGTGTTAATATTCAGCTTCTAGGATACAGCAGTGCTCCAAAACATTTGTCTTTCTGTCATTGTATTTCCTGTAACAATGTAATGCATAAATTAATGATGCCATTTCACTATTTTTATTTCCTGTGGGATACATTATCCAAGTTTACAAATTCAGTTCCACTATCTTAACAACTGCAACATGTATAAGGAAGTACTATATTTCTATGTTGAAGGTGGTTTGAAATAATTAAGTTAGCAAATTAAGTTGTAATGCTTCCATTATGAAGAGTCAGACTTTTATATTTTTAAATTTAAATATTCAGTGTCTCTCCCTCTTTCTTTTTACAGGTAGGTAGTGTAGGCAATTGGATGCCAAAAGGTAGATAGGACATGCCACAATTTACCTTTGCCTGCTTCTGTGGCCTCCACGGCTTCTGTCGGATGAAACACAAGAAAAAGGAGGAAGAGCAGCGAAAGGACCAGGAAACCGCTGTTTGATCAGGGTAGGCGGGAACCTACTCCATATCCTCTGGTGTAGAGCAATCTTCAACATGATCTTACATGACAATAGGAGCACTCATGGCTGCACTTTCTGTGGCTGGCCCTTGGAGAAGTGAATCAGCTGTTACTCTGTATATGAACAGCCATGTCTCAGTGTTTCATATGTACTTGTGCAATCTCTCTCTGACACATTTCACACTTGCAAAAAATAAATGAGTTCCTCAGTCCTTTGCCAGTAGGCCACACTCTGTTTCATGACATCCAAGCAATTCGCTGAGTAATGTAATAAAACCATGTAATGTAGAAGTATGCAATTCCAGTCCATGATAGTTTGAGGTTTTAACTTACAATGTATTTCCATAGGATTTACTGCTCAAATAATAACTCAAATACTATATTTAAGAAATTAGATTAGTCAATTTAGTTCAATTAGAGTTCTTGAAATAAGTTATTTCTATGATTTGTCCCTTAGTGAAATTCCTACCAGTCCAGTGCTATACATACTGTATAGGCTTCACTTCATAAGGTAGTTTGAGTTCATATTTTCAAAAACTGTAGCTCTTGAGAGAGAATAATAGTCACTACCTTTAAATATTAACAAAAGCCGTTACTGTAGTTTCTTAAAAATTTACAAGTCTATTTCTGTCTGTTTTTTCGTGAAAAGTTAGTGAACAACTAAGTTAGTGTGTTCTGGGGCTTGGATACACATCACGATCCTACTTTCACAGACTTAAAGTTAAACCCTAAAGCACCCAACCTCCGGGGTGTGTATTTGTGCACATGAGCGTGAACAAACATTTACTGAGAAAACATGTTTATTAAAATAACTAAGGTTGTATTCTGTCAAAGTTTTAAAAAAATAAGGACCAGTGGTTAAACGGGGCGTTTTAGTCACTCTGTAGTCTCACTGCATAGTGGATGACCGCTGACACTGTTGAATTTGGACTATGTTTCATTAACTATCAAGCAGGCTGCAGGTCAGTTACCATTGTCAACTTAACATGCTACTCCAGCAAGCATCTCAAACCGAGCTTGTGGATGATGTAAGCAGGGGCCGTGGGGACACCTTGTAGGATGTCTGACATTTACTGAAGAATGTCTTTATTAAAATAACTAAGGCATTATTCTTTAAAGTTTTTAATGTGTATTTGATGCATGATGCTAAATGCAGCTTACTAGTACCTATTAAATGTAATTAAATAATCATGTCCACCTTCTTTAAAATAACAAAAATATATCCTAAATTCTTACCCCCTTGCCTGATTCCACAGTTCCTACCCCCACTAATGTGTCATCCAAAGCACACTAATGCCTGCCTGGTTGATCATTTCTAGCCGCTATTTAGGTTCTTCCTATTCTGTTAAAGTTTTAAAAAATATGTTTTTGATGCTTGTTGCTAAATGCTGCTTACTAGTTCCTATCCGAGCCTATTCCCCAGAGACAGTGGGCAAGGCTGGGAACAATCTCCTGACATAATCATGTTGCGAGAATATGTTCCCCCAAGCCCAATGCTTGCACTGTCTCGCTAGCTTGCGCTGTGACCATGTAGGGTTTAGCTGTGTTAAGTTGATCGGTAGAGGTTCCAGTGGGCTCGGTCGAACTCCTTGCAGGTACTGTTTGTGTGAAGTCTGCAGAAATAAGGAGCGTAGGGCAGGTTGCTAGGTTCTGTAATACCATCTTGTTTAGGAGCACCTACTGTTGTCTGTTTCACAGACATTAAGTTATCAAATTCTAATTCTAAAGGCCAGTCCTTGGGTGTGTGCTTATGTGCATGTCCGGGGCTTTGCTGTGTGTGTGTGTGTGTGTCTGTGCGTGTGTGTGCATGAGTGTGAACAAATATTTACTGAAAAAGCGTGTTTATTAAAATAACTAAGGCATTATTCTGTTAAGTTTTTAAAAAATGTTTTTGATGCCTGTTGCTAAATACCTCTCACTAGTTCCTACAGTTATTAAATGTAATTAAATAAACCAGTCCATCCTATTTAATAGAAATTGACAAAATACAACTAAACAGATTTATTTCTTTAATCTTATTTGTTAAAAAAAATATATACTAATTTGTCATACACCATTTAAGTTATAGTGCTCTATCCGGTGATTATCCAAATACCTTTCTGCTATTTTTTGTTATATTCAGGCCCTGTATTTCTAATTAAATTTAGTGGGTGTCCGGGCCTATCCCAGAGACTGTGGGAAAGGCCGGGAACAAGCCAGAGTTGTGGTGTTTTACTTTAATTAGAAATACAGTGGTACCTCAGAACTCTAACTTAATCCGTTCAGAACTCTGGATCGAATCCTAAAAAGCTTGAGTTCTGATCGAATTTTCCCCATAAGAAATAATGGAAAACCAACTAATTGGTTCCCGGCCCCAAAAAATTACACCGAAATATATTTTTTTAGCATTTAAACACAAAATGAACCGGATAAAACAAGAAGAGCATATACTGTACTAAACACATCTAAGCATATTTATCAAAACAGTAATTTGTAAAGTAAGAAAATAAATATATCCAAACAATGTGTAAAGTTAAAAAAAAAAAACAATGTGTCCTGCCCTGATCGTCCGCTCCTTCCTTGTGCCACGCCCCCTCATTAACCCCGCATGGAATCCCTGTGTGATCAGCTGTTTCTGGTTGTTGTCATTAGTCCTCTGTATTTCGTCCGCATTTCAGTTTGTTTCTCCAGTCATTGTATTGTCCGTCTGCGTTTTGCCTGCCTTACCTGTAATTAAACCCCGTATTGCCTGATACCCTGTCATCTGCACCTTTGTCTCCGTTCCATCCCTGTTCAGCACGACAATACTATTATAATTAAAATGTATTAATGGTTTATTATTAATATTAAAATAATTAAGAAATCTTTATTTTTAAATGTATTTTATTATATAATAATAGTTACTGTTACTGTCTATCATTGTCTAAATGTATTTTTACTATCTATATGTATTCAGCTAGAGTAAACATGCACGATGCTATCACAGCAAATGCGAGGCTGAAACTGAAGCTTTACCCTTTGTTTCTGCTGAGAGACGTGCCCCGTGACTCATTTCCTCACAAGTACTCTTAGGTCGGCATTCACGGTTTGACTTCTGAGATTCAGATCGAATTCTAGGTAATTTTTTTTTCGAACTGGTTGGTTTGACTTTTAAGAAATTTGAGTTCTAATGAGTTTGAGAACTGAGGTACCACTGTAGTTTATTTTATACTATTTACAAATAAGACAGATTAATAAACATAGTTAATGTGTTTTCTGCCAGGAAGGGATGCTGGCTGTGTGCTTCCCATACACAGTATCAGCATCTAAATGGTGTGCTATAGACACTCTGTAGTCTCGTGGCACAGTGGATGACCATCGCGCTACATGGGCAAGAGAGAGAGCATGCTGGGATATGATGTTTTATGGGGTTGTGTCTCTGAGCACACACGCTACATGGGTGGAGAGAGAGAGCATGCTGGAATATGTCTCTATGCGCATGCGTAACAGGCTGATCGAGCGCATTATGGGTAAATATCTAATTTCTACTTTGTTTGCCGTCAGGGTCGACTGAAAGGTAATTTCGTCTGAAAAGTTTGTTGGTTAAATGCTTTCTTCAACCTTATACAAAAATAAAACATCGGTGAATACTTCTAAATTTTTTCTTCTTTAAACATGTTGGTTAAATATAACGAGTTTAGGTGTTTTCTTCCTTTAAAATGACTGAAAGTCGGGTTGCGTGTGCCAACTCCTAACAGCATGTGGCTGCGGCCTGACACCCGCTGGATGTGTATGCGCTAGTTTACATTCATCCTGCTATATGTTTTTATTACTCCTTAAAACATAATTAAAAATAACACATTAATAAATACATGTATTTTTTTTCCCTTACAGTTTAACGGTCCCCTGTCTGACAAACCACATGTTCCCCTTTTCAGCATCTGATACCATATATAGACAAGACCCCTGGACCAAACAGAATGAAGGACACACCCCATCCCGTCTATGACATCATAAATGGACCCATACTAAGCTCCGCCCAAAATTACTATTATTCTCTCTCTCTCTCTCTCGCCCTAGTAATAGATTATACTCTAAAGCACCACATAAGTTTATATGGACAGATCACATGTATTCCATTCAATGAACAGTCTCACAAAATTGGAATCTATCTTTCATATTGTGAAATCTTCCTTCCATAGCTTTGGAAAACCCAAGACATGGTTATTGATAGGCTGGAAAACCCTTAAATTTTCTTATGCCCAGGTGCCTTTTTAAAAACCAGTGCCTGCAAATCGAGCTGCCATTTGGCAATGAGCACAGAGCAGCAGGAGTATATAAAACGATTTATGCTCAGTTTCTTTTTTATTTTAGAACATTTATTATATTTTTTATTTGCCATTATTTTAACTGTGAATCTCAAGCATGGTTTTATTACAGTTCAAAGTTATTTGGCAATATTTAGAATATAAAATTAAAAATCTAAAATAAGATTTTGCTAAAATGATCACTTTTTATGACATTTAAAAACAATACAAGTGCATAGAATATAAAAGCTAATAGTTGGTTATATTGATTGTACTGCAGTGATGCCTCTTAAATAATATCACATTTATTTATTGTAAAATTATTCTTATGTCAGATTCAAAAAACAAACCAAAACCCATAACACTATTAATGTAATATATTCTTGATATGGTTGGTTTACTTTTGAATGCCTCTTCTTTGAATCATATCATTGTTTCTGGATGATCAAATTATGTATTGGTTGAAACAGGCAAGGCTTCAAATCCTTTCTTTGCAAATGCAACAAAACCAAAAAACAAGCAGTCAAATTCAAGATTTATTACATTTATCATTTATTTCTCTGCTCATAAATTAACCCTACTTCTGTCACGTGAATTTGTCAAGCCCTACCATCCTACTTAAAAAAAAATAAACGTGGGCTTTAAACCTTTAAGAATTTTTTCTATATATTTGGTCATCTGGTGTGTGTCTGTGTGGCCAGCACATGTCAGGTAGTGATAGAATGAACAAAATGAATTGTTCTCTTGCGATTAGATGTGCTGACTATTATCTGGAGTACATGTATATGTCTAATGAAAACAGAAATATCTGGCTGATGATTTTTGCTAGTTTATTATATGTGTCTGTATGTGAAATTGTATCTGTAAAATGTATATAACACTTACATATTGCTGTATCCATACATCCATGCCTTAAAGACATACAACAGTCTCAGATTATCGTTACTCTACTTCAAAATATGCATAACACTAATTATGCCCCTCAGTCTGAATCTGGTTTCAGTGACAGGAAATCATCTGAGTACATAAACATAATACTAATAATAGCAACAATATTAACAATTTGTTCATTTTGAGCAAATATTTTTTCTTTTGAGAAAGCATTGATGAATGAATGAGCTGTGGACCAATTAGTGCTTTAATGAAATCAAGGATGTGGGAAGTGAGCCTTGTGCAAAATAAAGAATGTAACCTTATCAGCTGATAAAGGTGGGGTATCAGTAGGGGAAAGGAATAAATGAAAAATGCTATGATATAATTGGAATTCAGAACACATTGTTGTGCAGCATATACCTCGGGGCAGGAGATCTGCAGTACAGTGAGTTGTACACTGGCCTTAAACTAGGGATAAGCTAACAGTTGGCAGCCTGATAAAGAAACAATGCATCGCAGTCTTATAATCGAACAGCAAGCAACCATTTAATTTAGGTGTAAGGTAACTCCAGCCTTCAGATATAACATATAGCCTTAGACTGACTTCAAGGCTCGTCATGTGAATGACAAATGTATTACTGCGGAAATTAAGAAAAGACTAAATTTAACTCTTCTTTGGTGGAATTATGTTCAGGATACTCAGAGCTTGAATGCCAATTTACATAGGAATTCTAGTCAAAAATACTTCTAATGTATGTTTAAAGGAAACGTGCCGATGTTCATGCTTTACATGTTTTAATTATACAATAATTATGTCATAAAACTGATATCTTACTGTGAAACATAGCTGTCAAGTCTCCCGTTTTGACTGGGAAACTACCGTATTTTACCCCTCTTTCCCGCCGTCCTCCCGTATTAGTATTTTCCCGTAAAACTCCCGTATTATAATATCATTTAAAAAAAATTCCTCTGCCTCTCCAAACTGAACTGTCA